TGTCTTTTGGGTAGACCACACAACCCCTCTCTCTCAGTGAAGGAACGTCTGTTACTCTCCAGAGCAGGGCTGGACTGGGAAAAAAATTCAGCCCGGGCATTTTTTTATCACAGCGGCCCACTAAGAAGGGGGCGGGGCAGAGAGGGTGTGTTTTGTCATCACTCATGACAAACACGCCCCCTCTCAAAGTGAGCATGTTGGTTCAATGCTCTTCCAGGGCAGACCATGCGCAGAGCTCTGCTGAAGAGCTCTAGCATGAGAAAAAAGCCCTGTATTTGTTCTGCACAGTGCAAGCAAATTTAATAACATGCTTGCACTGTTTCCTTGCAACTTGTCTCTGGTGTCTCTATAAATGGATACCAGGAGACAAAAGGGCCAGGAAAGAGTATTGTGCATGTGTTTGGAGCCTGTTTGTGGTATTACGTTTGTGCAGAGTGAGCTGGTCATGGTGTGGTATTGTGTAATAAGGTCTGTTTTAGTCGTGTTGTGTTTGTGGTGTAATGTAATGCATATGTGGCTAGGGGCTGTAGAGAATGTGTGTATAGGGGATGTAGCAAGTGTGTGCATACAGGCTATAGTGTGTGTGTGTATAGGTGATTTAGTGTTTGTAGAGAGTGTGTGTTCAGGGAATGTAGTATGTGTTTGCTTACAAGGAATCTAGTGTGCATATAGGGGATCCAGAGTGTGTGTGTGTATATGATCCAGAGTTGGCTAAAGGATCTAGTGTGTGTCTGGAATGTAATGTGTTTAGGGGTGCAGTGTGTGTGTGAGGGGTGTTGTGTGTATGTGTATATATATATATATATATATATATATATATATAGTTTATATAAATATGTTTGGAAGTATTGTGTATGTGTGTGATGCAGTGTATTGGGGGGTTGTGTGTGTATGTGAGGGGTGCAGTATGTGTGTGTGAGGTGTGATGTGTGTGAGGGTGCTGTGTGTGTGAGGGTGCTGTGTATGATGTGTGTGAGAGTGTTGTGTGTGTGTGATGTGTGTGAGTGCTGAGTGTGATAGTGCTGTGTATGATGTGTGATGTGTGTGAGAGTGATGTGTGAGAGTGCTGTGTGTGAGTGTTGTGTGTTATGTGTGTGAGTGCTGAGTGTGATAGTGCTGTGTATGAGTGTTGAGTGTGATAGTGCTGTGTATGATGTGTGTGAGTGCTGAGTGTGATGTGTGTGAGAGTGATGTGCCTGAGTGCTGTGTGTGAGAGTGTTGTGTGATGTGTGTGAGAGTGCTGAGTGTGAAAGTGCTATGATGTGTGTGAGAGTGCTGCGATGTGTGAGATTGCTGTGTATGATGTGTGTGAGAGTGCTATGATGTGTGTGAGAGTGCTATGATGTGTGTGAGAGTGCTATGATGTGTGTGAGAGTGCTATGATGTGTGTGAGAGTGCTGCGATGTGTGAGATTGCTGTGTATGATGTGTGTGAGAGTGCTGTGTGTGAGAGTGCTATGATGTGTGTGAGAGTGCTGCGTGTGATGTGTGTGAGAGTGCTATGATGTGTGAGAGTGCTGCGCTGTGTGTGAGAGTGCTGTGTGTGAGAGTGTTGTGTGTTGTGAGTGCTGGGTGTGATAGTGCTGTGTGTGAGAGTGCTGCGTGTGATGTGTGTGAGTGCTGAGTGTGAAAGTGCTGTGTGTGAGAGTGCTATGATGTGTGTGAGAGTGCTATGATGTGTGTGAGAGTGCTGTGTGTGAAAGTGCTATGATGTGTGTGAAAGTGCTATGATGTGTGTGAGAGTGCTATGATGTGTGTGAGAGTGCTGCGTGTGATGTGTGTGAGAGTGCTGAGTGTGAGAGTGCTGATGTGTGTGAGAGTGCTGTGTGTGAGAGTGCTGAGTGTGAGAGTGCTGGGTGTGAGAGTGCTGGGTGTGATGTGTGTGAGAGTGTTGTGTGAGTGCTGAGAATGCTGAGTGTGATAGTGCTGTGTATAAATGTTGTGTGTTGGGGGGTAAATAAACAAAAAAAAAACTAAGCAAAAAAAAAACTAAACCCCCCCCCTCCCTTCTTACCTTTAGCCTGGGAGGGGGGACATGCACGTGGTAGCTGGGAGGGGGGGCACCGGCACTCGCACACCATCCCTGGTGGTCCAGTGGTGAGTGAACTCTCTCGCGAGATCGGGGCGTTGCCATGGCAACGCTCCGGATCTCGCGAGAGAAACCCGGCGGAGCTGCAAGACAGAGCTCCGCCGGGTCCTCTCCCTCCCTCCCCAGCCGCAGGTCTATTTAAATGGGCCGGTGAGGGAGATCTTTGATCTCCCCATCGGCCCTCCATGGAAGACAGCGGGCCGGCGCTCGGATAGTGCCGGCCCTGCATAGACCGGCATGGGAGATCCTGGGACCTCCCCTGCCGGCCTCGGCCCCACGGCCACCGCGGCCCACCGGGCATTTGCCCGGTGTGCCCGATGGCCAGTCCGGGCCTGCTCCAGAGTATATAAGATGAAACAGAGAAAGAAACGTCCAAACTAAATGTAGTATTTCAAAATACCAGAGGGGAGGGATTGTATGCTATGTGGGAGTGTCAGGCATTGTAACCCTGTTATTATTGGTATGTGACTTTGTACCGTAGTTCCCATCAAGGTCTATGCGGGAGTGCTCTTTGCATGGGGAAGCCTCGTCTTGTGATTGTAGGGAACAGCTATACCAGCTATACCAGCTATAATCCCTGCTCTTGGGATTGTTCTTTGGATTGCTTTAACCACTAGCTCTTGTAAGAGCTTCACAGCTATACTCTCTTGGAGGAGAGGCCTTCCCACTCGGAGCTGGAACCAAGAGGTTGGTCCAGGGTTGGAAGGGACGGCGAGATCCCAGCCAAGCTATGGCGGCTAAGGTGCTTACGGTGTCCATTGCGGTGCTTATGGTCCTCAGCGTCAGCTAGGAAGCATCGATTGGTGGAGGCACCCAGTCAGGGTGCCAGGTAGTCCATCACAGTTATTATCAGAATAAGTGCATCAGAGACTGCTGTTACTCATAAACTAGTACTACTCAAGAACAGTCATAAAAAATCCAAACAGTCAGTGTAGTCCACTCTAACCCTAAATCCTTCTAAACCCTAATGGCATAGACAATCCAAAACCAGCCCCCAAACTTACCTTAATGGCGTCATTTAAAACATTGTTGCGGTCAACAATGGTGTAATGATACGTCATTCTCACAAAGCATCAGTGTGTAAGTGTAAGCAACATTCACTTTTAAAACGTGCTGTTTCAACAGCAAGATGTTTAAAAGGAACACTCCAAGAACCATAATCACTACAATCACTATAGCAATGGTGCTGGGAGTACTCTGGTACTGTCCTACTGTAATCTGTCAAACTATTTTAGAAAGATTTGAAAACACAGATGGCTTCTGCCGGGGCGCCTGCAGTCACTTACTCTGTTTCTGGAGTCTCCTGCAAGATAATTCAGTTAGCTGTACGCAGCTAAGTAAGGCGTTACAGAATTGCTCTAAACTACACACCCCACGGCTTATGATCTGAATCACTTCACTAAGATTTCTGTTTGACCAGCAGGGGGAGCCAGGCACCAGGTAGGAACAGGGATGGGCTGTAACAAAGCTATGGCTGGCTCAGACTAATGAGAGTCCTAGATTCCCAACAGCCAGAAAGAAGTGAATTTGGAAGTTAAGTATGTGTGTAAATGACTATGAAATACAAAAGACCAAAGACAATTTATAACAGTTAAAACAGCTGCAAGCAGTTGTTTGCCCTCTAAATAATAAATGATTATGGAGCTATTTTTCAATAACATAGCCATTGCTCAAATAAAGACAAATGAAGGAAAAGAAGACAATAAGTGAAATGTTATATTAATGTAAAACAAACACACACATGCCATATGTATAACAAGGGCAGCTATAGATACAATATTCATTGTTACATGGTTTATACTCAACCTCTTGCTATTTTTTCAATGTCGGCAGCTGGAATGGAAAATACAGATTAGGTGCACACAAAAAATAAATTCAAAAAATACAGTTTTCAATTTTAAAAGGCTACGTAAAGGACCATTACACTATAGTGCCGGAAAAACAAACACATTTTCCTGACACTATACAATCCTTAGGTCCCCCACTCCCTCAGGGCCCCCCTTCCGCTGGACTGAAGGGGTTAAAACCCCTTCAGCCACTTACCTTAATCCAGCGCCGGGATCCCCCTCCAGTGACCTCTCCTCCCCCTCCAATGTCAGCTCCAATGTCAGTGAGAGAACACAGTATGGAGAGAGTACTCATAGACTGAGAGAACACAGTACGGAGAGAGTACTCATAGACCGAGAGAGCACAGTATGGAGAGAGAACTCATAGACTGAGAGAATACGGTATGGAGAGAGTACTCATAGACAGAGTACATAGTATGGAGAGAGAACTCATAGACTGAGAGAATACGGTATGGAGAGAGTACTCATAGACTGAGAGAGCACAGTATGGAGAGAGTACTCATAGACTGAGAGCATAGTATGGAGAGAGTACTCATAGATTGAGAGAATACAGTATGGAGAGAGTACTCATAGACTGAGAGAGCACAGTATGGAGAGAGTACTCAGATTGAGAGAACACAGTATGGAGAGAGTACTCAGACAGAGAGCACAGTATGGAGAGAGTACTCATAGACAGAGCATAGTATGGAGAGAGTACTCAGACTGAGAGAGCACAGTATGGAGAGAGTACTCAGACTGAGAGAATACAGTATGGAGAGAGTACTCATAGACTGAGAGAGCACAGTATGGAGAGAGTACTCATAGACTGAGAGCATACTATGGAGAGAGTACTCAGACTGAGAGCATACTATGGAGAGAGTACTCATAGACTGAGAGAGCACAGTATGGAGAGAGTACTCATAGACTGAGAGCATACTATGGAGAGAGTACTCATAGACTGAGAGCATACTATGGAGAGAGTACTCATAGACTGAGAGAGCACAGTATGGAGAGAGTACTCATAGACTGAGAGCATAGTATGGAGAGAGTACTCGTAGACTGAGAGAACACAGTATGGAGAGAGTGCTCATAGTCTGAGAGAACACAGTATGGAGAGAGTACTCATAGACTGAGAGAGCACAGTATGGAGAGAGTACTCAGACTGAGAGAATACGGTATGGAGAGAGTAGTCATAGACTGAGAGAACACAGTATGGAGAGAGTACTCATAGACTGAGAGCATAGTATGGAGAGAGTACTCATAGACTGAGAGAACACAGTATGGAGAGAGGACTCATAGACTGAGAGAATACAGTATGGAGAGAGTACTCATAGACTGAGAGAATACGGTATGGAGAGAGTACTCATAGACTGAGAGAGCACAGTATGGAGAGAGTACTCATAGACAGAGAATACAGTATGGAGAGAGTACTCATAGACTTAGAGCATAGTATGGAGAGAGTACTCAGACTGAGAGCATAGTATGGAGAGAGGACTCATAGACTGAGAGAATACAGTATGGAGAGAGTACTCATAGACTGAGAGAACACAGTATGGAGAGAGGACTCATAGACAGAGTACATAGTATGGAGAGAGTACTCATAGACTGAGAGAGCACAGTATGGAGAGAGTACTCAGACTGACAGAGCATAGTATGGAGAGAGTACTCAGACTGACAGAGCATAGTATGGAGAGAGTACTCATAGACAGAGAGCATAGTATGGAGAGAGGACTCATAGACAGAGTACATAGTATGGAGAGAGTACTCATAGACTGAGAGCATACAATGGAGAGAGTACTCATAGACTGAGAGCATACTATGGAGAGAGTACTCATAGACTGAGAGATCACAGTATGGAGAGAGTACTCATAGAATGAGAGAACACAGTATGGAGAGAGTACTCACACTGAGAGAATACTGAGAGAACACAGTATGGAGAGAGGACTCATAGACAGAGAATACAGTATGGAGAGAGGACTCATAGACTGAGAGAATACAGTATGGAGAGAGTACTCAGACTGAGAGAGGACAGTATGGAGAGAGTACTCATAGACTGAGAGCATAGTATGAAGAGAGTACTCATAGACTGAGAGAACACAGTATGGAGAGAGTGCTCATAGTCTGAGAGAACACAATATGGAGAGAGTACTCATAGACAGAGAGCTCAGTATGGAGAGAGTACTCAGACTGGGAGAATATGGTATGGAGAGTACTCAGACTGAGAGAACACAGTATGGAGAGAGGACTCATAGACTGAGAGCATACTATGGAGAGAGTACTCATAGACTGAGAGCATACTATGGAGAGAGTACTCATAGAATGAGAGAACACAGTATGGAGAGAGTACTCACACTGAGAGAATACTGAGAGAATATAGTATGGAGAGAGGACTCATAGACTGAGAGAACAGAGTATGGAGAGAGTGCTCATAGACTGAGAGAGCTCAGTATGGAGAGAGTACTCAGACTGGGAGAATACGGTATGGAGAGAGTACTCAGACTGAGAGAAGCACAGTATGGAGAGAGTACTCATAGACTGAGAGCATAGTATGGAGAGAGTACTCATAGACTGAGAGAACAGTATGGAGAGAGTACTCATAGACTGAGAGAACAGTATGGAGAGAGGACTCATAGACTGAGAGCACAGTATGGAGAGAGTGCTCATAGACTGAGAGAGCACAGTATGGAGAGAGTACTCATAGACTGAGAGAACACAGTATGGAGAGAGGACTCATAGACAGAGTACATAGTATGGAGAGAGTACTCATAGACTGAGAGAGCACAGTATGGAGAGAGTACTCATAGACAGAGAGCACAGTATGGAGAGAGTACTCAGACTGACAGAGCATAGTATGGAGAGAGTACTCATAGACTGAGAGAACACAGTATGGAGAGAGGACTCATAGACAGAGAGCATAGTATGGAGAGAGTGCTCATAGACTGAGAGAGCACAGTATGGAGAGAGTACTCATAGACTGAGAGAACACAGTATGGAGAGAGGACTCATAGACAGAGTACATAGTATGGAGAGAGTACTCATAGACTGAGAGAGCACAGTATGGAGAGAGTACTCATAGACTGAGAGAACACAGTATGGAGAGAGTACTCATAGACTGAGAGAGCACAGTATGGAGAGAGTACTCAGACTGACAGAGCATAGTATGGAGAGAGTACTCATAGACTGAGAGATCACAGTATGGAGAGAGTACTCATAGAATGAGAGAACACAGTATGGAGAGAGTACTCATAGAATGAGAGAACACAGTATGGAGAGAGTACTCACACTGAGAGAATACTGAGAGAACACAGTATGGAGAGAGGACTCATAGACAGAGAATACAGTATGGAGAGAGGACTCATAGACTGAGAGAATACAGTATGGAGAGAGTACTCAGACTGAGAGAGGACAGTATGGAGAGAGTACTCATAGACTGAGAGCATAGTATGAAGAGAGTACTCATAGACTGAGAGAACACAGTATGGAGAGAGTGCTCATAGTCTGAGAGAACACAATATGGAGAGAGTACTCATAGACAGAGAGCTCAGTATGGAGAGAGTACTCAGACTGGGAGAATATGGTATGGAGAGAGTACTCATAGACTGAGAGAACACAGTATGGAGAGAGTACTCATAGACTGAGAGAACACAGTATGGAGAGAGGACTCATAGAATGAGAGAACACAGTATGGAGAGAGTACTCACACTGAGAGAATACTGAGAGAATACAGTATGGAGAGAGGACTCATTGACTGAGAGAACAGAGTATGGAGAGAGTGCTCATAGACTGAGAGAGCTCAGTATGGAGAGAGTACTCAGACTGGGAGAATACGGTATGGAGAGAGTACTCAGACTGAGAGAACACAGTATGGAGAGAGTACTCATAGACTGAGAGCATAGTATGGAGAGAGTACTCATAGACTGAGAGAACACAGTATGGAGAGAGTACTCATAGACTGAGAGCATAGTATGGAGAGAGTACTCATAGACTGAGAGAACAGTATGGAGAGAGTACTCATAGACTGAGAGAACAGTATGGAGAGAGGACTCAGACTGAGAGAACACAGTATGGAGAGAGGACTCATAGACTGAGAGAATACAGTATGGAGAGAGTACTCATAGACTGAGAGAACACAGTATGGAGAGAGGACTCATAGACAGAGTACATAGTATGGAGAGAGTACTCATAGACTGAGAGAGCACAGTATGGAGAGAGTATTCATAGACTGAGAGAACACAGTATGGAGAGGGTACTCATAGACTGAGAGAGCACAGTATGGAGAGAGTACTCAGACTGATAGAGCATAGTATGGAGAGAGTACTCAGACTGACAGAGCATAGTATGGAGAGAGTACTCATAGACAGAGAGCATAGTATGGAGAGAGGACTCATAGACAGTACATAGTATGGAGAGAGTACTCATAGACTGAGAGCATACAATGGAGAGAGTACTCATAGACTGAGAGCATACTATGGAGAGAGTACTCATAGACTGAGAGATCACAGTATGGAGAGAGTACTCATAGAATGAGAGAACACAGTATGGAGAGAGTACTCACACTGAGAGAATACTGAGAGAATACAGTATGGAGAGAGGACTCATTGACTGAGAGAACAGAGTATGGAGAGAGTGCTCATAGACTGAGAGAGCTCAGTATGGAGAGAGTACTCAGACTGGGAGAATACGGTATGGAGAGAGTACTCATAGACTGAGAGAACACAGTATGGAGAGAGTACTCATAGACTGAGAGCATAGTATGGAGAGAGTACTCATAGACTGAGAGAACACAGTATGGAGAGAGTACTCAGACTGAGAGCATAGTATGGAGAGAGTACTCATAGACTGAGAGAACAGTATGGAGAGAGTACTCATAGACTGAGAGAACAGTATGGAGAGAGGACTCATAGACTGAGAGAACACAGTATGGAGAGAGGACTCATAGACTGAGAGAATACAGTATGGAGAGAGTACTCATAGACTGAGAGAACACAGTATGGAGAGAGGACTCATAGACAGAGTACATAGTATGGAGAGAGTACTCATAGACTGAGAGAGCACAGTATGGAGAGAGTATTCATAGACTGAGAGAACACAGTATGGAGAGGGTACTCATAGACTGAGAGAGCACAGTATGGAGAGAGTACTCAGACTGACAGAGCATAGTATGGAGAGAGTACTCAGACTGACAGAGCATAGTATGGAGAGAGTACTCATAGACAGAGAGCATAGTATGGAGAGAGGACTCATAGACAGAGTACATAGTATGGAGAGAGTACTCATAGACTGAGAGCATACAATGGAGAGAGTACTCATAGACTGAGAGCATACTATGGAGAGAGTACTCATAGACTGAGAGATCACAGTATGGAGAGAGTACTCATAGAATGAGAGAACACAGTATGGAGAGAGTACTCACACTGAGAGAATACTGAGAGAACACAGTATGGAGAGAGGACTCATAGACAGAGAATACAGTATGGAGAGAGGACTCATAGACTGAGAGAATACAGTATGGAGAGAGTACTCAGACTGAGAGAGGACAGTATGGAGAGAGTACTCATAGACTGAGAGCATAGTATGAAGAGAGTACTCATAGACTGAGAGAACACAGTATGGAGAGAGTGCTCATAGTCTGAGAGAACACAATATGGAGAGAGTACTCATAGACAGAGAGCTCAGTATGGAGAGAGTACTCAGACTGGGAGAATATGGTATGGAGAGTACTCAGACTGAGAGAACACAGTATGGAGAGAGGACTCATAGACTGAGAGCATACTATGGAGAGAGTACTCATAGACTGAGAGCATACTATGGAGAGAGTACTCATAGAATGAGAGAACACAGTATGGAGAGAGTACTCACACTGAGAGAATACTGAGAGAATATAGTATGGAGAGAGGACTCAGACTGAGAGAACAGAGTATGGAGAGAGTGCTCATAGACTGAGAGAGCTCAGTATGGAGAGAGTACTCAGACTGGGAGAATACGGTATGGAGAGAGTACTCAGACTGAGAGAACACAGTATGGAGAGAGTACTCATAGACTGAGAGCATAGTATGGAGAGAGTACTCATAGACTGAGAGAACAGTATGGAGAGAGTACTCATAGACTGAGAGAACAGTATGGAGAGAGGACTCAGACTGAGAGAACACAGTATGGAGAGAGGACTCATAGACTGAGAGAATACAGTATGGAGAGAGTACTCATAGACTGAGAGAACACAGTATGGAGAGAGGACTCATAGACAGAGTACATAGTATGGAGAGAGTACTCATAGACTGAGAGAGCACAGTATGGAGAGAGTACTCATAGACTGAGAGAACACAGTATGGAGAGAGTACTCATAGACTGAGAGAGCACAGTATGGAGAGAGTACTCAGACTGACAGAGCATAGTATGGAGAGAGTACTCATAGACAGAGAGCATAGTAGGAGAGAGTGCTCATAGACTGAGAGAACACAGTATGGAGAGAGGACTCATAGACAGAGAGCATAGTATGGAGAGAGTGCTCATAGACTGAGAGAGCACAGTATGGAGAGAGTACTCATAGACTGAGAGAACACAGTATGGAGAGAGGACTCATAGACAGAGTACATAGTATGGAGAGAGTACTCATAGACTGAGAGAGCACAGTATGGAGAGAGTGCTCATAGGCTGAGAGAGCACAGTATGAAGAGAGTACTCATAGACTGAGAGAACACAGTATGGAGAGAGTACTCATAGACTGAGAGAGCACAGTATGGAGAGAGTACTCAGACTGACAGAGCATAGTATGGAGAGAGTACTCAGACTGAGAGAGCACAGTATAGAGAGAGTGCTCATAGACTGAGAGAACACAGTATGGAGAGAGTACTGAAACAGAGAACACAGAATGGAGAGAGTACTCATAGACGAAGAGAATACAGTATGGAGAGAGTACTCATAGACTGAGAGAGCACAGTATGGAGAGAGTACTCATAGACTGAGAGAGCACAGTATGGAGAGAGTACTCATAGACTGAGAGAACACAGTATGGAGAGAGTACTCATAGTCTGCTAAAGTTACTCTGGTGTGAGGAGGGGGGGCAGCATATTGTAAAGATATACTTTGTGACAGCAGGAGGCTGACCAGAAGGGTTTTATATTGGGGAGGAGTTATGGACTATGGGAGGATAAGCATTTGAAACTGGGCTCAGGGAAGGAGGGAATGTGACACTGAAAGCAGTAAGAGGGGTTCAGAGAAGGAGGGGTGTGACACTGGAAGCAATGATGGGGTTCAGGAAAGGAGGGGTGTGATACTGGAAGCAGTGGGGGAGGGCTCAGAGAAGGAGGGGTGCGACACTGAAAACAGTAAGGGGCGCTCAAGGAAGGAGGGGTGTTACACTGGAAGCAGTGATGTGAAGCTCAGGAAAAGAGGGGAGTTACACTGGAAGCAGTGATGTGAACTCAGGAAAGGAGGCGTGTTACACTGGAAGCAGTGATGTGAAGCTCAGGAAAGGAGGGGTGTTACACTGGAAGCAGTGATGTGAAGCTCAGGAAAAGAGGGGTGTTACACTGGAAGCAGTGATGTGAAGCTCAGGAAAGGAGGGGTGTGATACTGGAAGCAGTAAGGAGGGGGTTCAGGGAAGGAGGGGTGCTACATTGGAAGCAGTGAGGGGGGGGTTCAGGGAAGGAGGGTGTTACACTGGAAGCAGTAAGGGGGGTCCAGGGAAGGAGGGGTGTTACCTTGGAAGCAGTGAGGGGGGTTCAGGGAAGGAGGGGTGTGACACTGGAAGCAGTGAGCGGGTTCAGGGAAGGAGGGGGTGTTACACTGGAAGCAGTGATGTGAAGCCCAGGAAAGGAGGGGTGTTACACTGGAAGCAGTGATGTGAAGCTCAGGAAAGGAGGGGTGTTACACTGGAAGCAGTAAGGGGGGTCCAGGGAAGGAGTGGGTGTTACACTGGAAGTAGTGAGGGGGGGGTTCAGGGAAGGAGGGGTGTGACACTGGAAGCAGTGAGCGGGTTCAGGGAAGGAGGGGGTGTTACACTGGAAGCAGTGATGTGAAGCCCAGGAAAGGAGGGGTGTTACACTGGAAGCAGTGATGTGAAGCTCAGGAAAGGAGGGGTGTTACACTGGAAGCAGTAAGGGGGGTCCAGGGAAGGAGGGGTGTTACACTGGAAGTAGTGAGGGGGGGTTCAGGGAAGGAGGGGTGTGACACTGGAAGCAGTGAGCGGGTTCAGGGAAGGAAGGGGGGGTTACACTGGAAGCAGTGATGTGAAGCCCAGGAAAGGAGGGGTGTTACACTGGAAGCAGTGATGTGAAGCTCAGGAAAGGAGGGGTGTTACACTGGAAGCAGTGATGTGAAGCTCAGGAAAGGAGGGGTGTTGCACTGGAAGTCATGAGTGGGGCTCAGGGAATAAGGGGTGTGATACTGGAAGCAGTGATGTGAAGCTCAGGGAAGGAGGGGGTATGACACTGGAAGCAGTGAAGGAGGGATGTGACATTGGAAGCAGTGAGAGAAGGCTCAGGGAAGGAGGGTGACACTGAGAGTTGTGTATGGGGGGGAAGGGAGGGATCAGTAGAGGGACTGAGGCACTGGGAGGAGAGAGGGAAGTACTGGGAAGGGGGTGTAACATTGGCAGGAAGGAGTAACAATTTGATATGTAAGGTGTTGGGTTTACTGATAGAGGAGTTATATTGGGAAGGAAGTTCACTGGGAAAGAGGAGTGGAACTGGAGAGGAGGAGTGGTGATCCTGGCAGGAAGAAGTAGTACTGGAGAGGGGGAGTGGTGGATCTGGCAGATAGGAGTGTACTGGAGGGGGGGAGTGGTGATACTGGGGAGGAGTGGTGATCCTGGCAGATAGGAGTGTATTGGGGAGTAGGAGTGGTGACTCTGGGTAGGAGGAGTGCTGACTCTGGGAGGTGCACTCAGCAGCCACTGCCCTGCTCAGTGGATCCTGGACTCATGGAGCGGCTGCTCTTGCTGCTGGGGGTGCAGCCCGGGCACATTTGATCGCTGCTGTCACCTTTATTGTCCCCTGTGTATTTGTAGTGTGCACCCTGCTCCCCTGCCTGGCATTGCTGTGTGTGAGCATTGAGCTCCCCAGCCTGGCTGTGCCCTGTGCTCCCCAGCCTGGCAGTGCTATAAGCTCCCCAGCCTTGTAGTGCCCTCCACTCCTCAGCCTGGCAGTGCCATAAGCTTCCCAGCCTGGCATTGCCCTGAGCTCCCTGCCTTTGTTGTGTCTTTGTGTAGTGCTGAGATTGCATGCTGTACACGGTCTCCTCTGTGTTTTGTCCTCATTGTGGTAGTTGTGTAGTGTTGTATCTGTGAGTGAGTGTGTGTGTGTGGCCCCTTCCACTGTAACCTGCTCCTCTCACCCTTCACCATGCCGGATCTGATCAGTGTGTCGGAATTTGTATCTGAGACCAATGAGGATTACAAGTCTCCCACTGCGTCCAACTTTACCACCAAACTGAGCCAATGCAGGAACACGGTGACAGCCATAGAAGAGGTAAGAGCTCTCACTCATATACTGGGTCCAAACTCTGCCAGTCTGGCTCACAGAGGGCAGGGGGCAATCAGAGCATGATGGCTGTGACATGGATATGGGACTGGGAACATCTATGTTATCAATGTATAATATTTGGTGTAAGAAATCCTGTATTGTCTTTGGAAAGTCTGCTTTTGAAAGTGCCACATTATATGTGTATATAGTATATGTAGATGTGGGACTAAATGTCAGAATTTGTCAGGTGGTGGGTCTGATGACAGATCTTCATTGTGATAACAAAGTAAGAAGAGTAAGGTTAGGTTACAGAAAATGCCTATTGTCATCCAGAAAGAGGTTTAGCAGAAAAATTGTTGCTTTAATAATAATATTGACCCTGCAGGTACACAGCTAGTATACAAGGTCATTTCATGGTCTCACTTTTGGTACTGTATTTTATGGGGCCACCATTCTATTTATTTATTTTTGAAAAACAGAAAATCCAGTTATTTACATTGATAATGATGTTGGTTTTAATCACTAAACAAAATAATGGAGTTTACGCCAGGGAGTTCCAAGTTGTATGCCAATATAGCCAAACTGGAGAAATAGTTCCAACTCTTTTTTAGATTAACGTTTAATATTTCTGGGTCAAACCCCGACAGTTTTTTGTGTTTTTTTTTTGTCATTATTTTATTATATATAGTGGCATCATATACCGCAACATTTACAACGAGATTATAAAATTGCAATTAAATGGCAGACAAATGTTAAGAGTATAGGAGGTGAAGAGGGCTTGTGCCAACAAGTTTGCAATGTAGATGTTCTGGTTTAGAAAATAAACCCCCAGTATAAGTGTGCATGTTTGCAAAGTATAGATCAAAAGAAGCAAATGTGCATCTGTTCTTTTTAAATTCAAGTAGACCAATGCTTGTTCATTCATAAATCCTGGTTTTAATTATGTTCTGTATCTCGAATACTAAACCTGACACTGACTAACCTGACCCTGTCCTTTAATCTATCTGAATTTATTTCAGCATGGTTTGTTCTGAGATAAACTTTGTGCACAGTATTTATTACTTGACTTTCCTTGGGGAGTATAAAATAGCACATTAGATTTATTCATTAAACAGTAAGTTGGCCAGCTTGCAAAATGTAGGCCAAAAAAAAACAAGTTACCAAACCGATCATATTCTTTGATATCATTTATGCAATTAATAAATCTGTTACAAGTCACCTTGTTTATGTTAATGTTTAGTAAATGAACTCTAAAGTGACCCTAATAAGGAGGGTCCAAAACGAGAGAATACAAGAATTCAATATCCATTGATTTATGAGTGTGAAACTATTTGTGAAGGAGCCAAGTGTGTCTTATTCAGAATGTGTTTTCCTGGATACATAGAATGTGTGCATGAAAAGTGTAGTCCTCTACTATATATACTTAAAGTGACCCAATAGTAGTACCTGCATTCCTACCGCTATAGGGCCCATGTCCCCAATTCTACATAGACGCCCCCTGCAATATAATTTTAAAGAAATAAAGTTTTACTTACATATTTCCAGTGCCAAGGTACCCTCAGTGCTGCTTCCATCTCTGCCTCCCTTAATTTCGTGTCCAATCCAATGCTTATCATAGAGCAGCATTGGGGACCTAAAGAACATGCGCAGCAAGTGCCACACGCACATTCAAGCTTCCCCAGCAGAAACTATTAAATCAATCCTCTCTTATGGGACTTGCGCATCACATAACAAGCTTTAGTCAGTCAGAACAGCAGAAGCTCAAAAACATCAATGTTTTACATTGCAGGGTTAAAAGGACAGGACCACTGCACCCAGACCACTTCATTGATATGAAGTGGTCTGCGTGACTATACTGTCCATTTAATGTGCTACAGTAGTCCTGAGCCATGACTGATTAATCGCTTGATTTTCTACCTGCCTCATTTGAATTCTCCATACTTCAGACCAGTGCATTTTAGGTACTGCACATCTGTATGTATCCAAAAATAAGTTGGGGTTTAAAACCATATTTTTGGTTTACATCAAATTATTAAAATAAGGTACTTGTTAAATTTGATGTTCGTCTGTTTTATGTTAATTTGCACAAACTGGATTTCACAGCTTAACTTCACATAGAAAAATTAGAAAAATTCACCCAGTCGCTTAAGGTTTACTTACTTAGGGGTGAATAGTCAAGAGTTAAAAATGGATTTCCAGATTAAGGCAACAATAGCCGAATTTGAAGTCGCCAAGTCAGGCTATATTTTCTGTTCATACAGTATGAATTCCAGACAAATCCTACGTTCGTGAATAACTCATGTATGTGTTTTCTTAAACAGGGGTTTAATTTTAAATACGTGTGAAACTTTCTTGGCAGCTATCAGCCTAAAATTAAATTCTTCTTTTACAATATTTTATTGGCTAAGTGTATGAATTGCCTACATACACATTCTAGTCAAACATTTGCTAGACTTTTGTTCCACTGTGATGTAACATGTTAAATTCTCCTGCTTGTGGTCTGTGTAGTGTAATTAAATATGTCAGCTATGTTCTAGAAAATATTACCATTCCAGGTTCTATCTCTAAAAACGTCTGTAGCTACTAGAATAAACTAATTCC